TTGATAGAAAGACTAAAAAAAATGAAAAATGGACTAAAAAAGTACATAAAAAAGTTAAAGGATAAAAATTATATATGACATTAAAGTTGAAGATAAAAATGAAATTTACTATTTTAAATTTGAATTGAGTGGTACGGACAACTTTTGTGCATTGCCGTTGCAAGCTATGAAAAAGCCCTTAGCCCAAAACGACGTCGTCGTTTTGGGTTAGGGAATCCTTTTTTTTCTAATTTGCAGTGTGTATCGGTCGAAATTTTGGTGAACCGGTTGGTACATCGAAATTTTGGCCGATACATCGAATTTTGACCGAAACGAAAATTAATATTATACCGTTTCGGTCAACTTTCAAACCGGTACGTATCGACCGTACTGGTCGGTACGATACGGTTTTGACTTCTTTGGGTATTATAAAAAATATTCAATTTTCAGTTTTTCACCAGAACCAGTGAAACTTTGTTGGAACCACTAGACAATTCATGATACCACTACTATAGAGCTACTAGCAATGCTAGAGCCACTAAAAATTTGACAGCTCACCTAAACCCACCTGTACATCTCTGAGCCATCAACCAAAAATTACAACAATGCCACTGCACATATATGTATTATCTTTCCTTCATTTTCCAAGATATACACATGCAAAACAAAACAAATTTTCACACAACTTTAGTCTCCCTCTCATGCACCAGACTTCCCTTCTTCCTCTAAAAAATACTTCATCCTCAACCTACCATCCTACATACTGAAAACACCTAAAAATCACCATTTCTCTCCACATTTTCTGCACTTCTAGCATTGTAGAATATTTTCCAGACTTGCAAAACAGCATGGCTGAGAGGTAGCATGCTGCAGTTTCAGTTTCTAAGTAGTTTTTCTTAAGCATCAAAGGATCAAGCTGCAAAGGCAGCATCAAGAATGGGATCAAGTATTTTACTCCTAAGCCCCCAAAGTGGTCATCCATCATTCTCCCATCACCACTTCTAAGTTTATCCCTTTTCGTACGTGAAAGAATTTCAAGAGGGGAATTATTGCATTCTTCATCTTCAACATGAGAGTTGTTTGTTATAAAGAGAAGATATTTACTAGAAATGATAAAGGTCACCTTTATTGCCATTATTATTATATCACAATGTTTTATGTATGAAGGTGATTCCCAAGTTGTAATCTTTAAACCTGGTGTATTTTCCATCTCTGCTGCCTCTTCAACAATGTACATCCTCTTTCCATTATTTTTGGTAGTTGTGTAATCATTCTAAGTTTTGGAGTTTCCGTCATAGCTACCCAACTCTACTGGGTTGGCTGGAAGATTTATATTTTTAACTTTACTAGAAAGTTCATTGTAGGATATCATCGTTGGACAGAACAAGATGGCCCGTAACACGTAGCCTTTTGCACGTGAGACGGGTGTTGCCAAAAAAACCCTCCTCATTCCTTTTTACGGATGGCATCCAAGTCAGCCTCTACGTCATTCTCATTGCTGACTCATCATCCTACATCGCCGGCACACCCCCAACATATATATAAATAATATATAATTTAATAATATAAATTTAATTATTATTTATTATATAATTCTTATATACAATTTATTTATGGATAGACCCTTCATTTTTTTCCCTCAAAAGTTATGCGGTTCTCAACCAAATTACGATTGTTATGATTGTTATAATAACTTCATGTTAAGAAAGCAATAAGTTTATTAATAAAAAATTAATAAATAGTAGCTACTAATGAAATGAAATGAAAATGACCATGAAATGAAGAACTACTAATGAGTATTTGCCTTGCTAACTGAAAATAATTTCAATGAATGATATATTAATTGTTAATTATTAATATTAATGTTGAAAAGATTGGTTCATTCTTAGGTAGATGATGAGGCAAGACCATTTATTTTTTTTTAACATATTAATTAGTAATATTTTTTAGTGTTCATCTTTTGGTAGATGAAGAAGGAAAAAACTAAGGGAAGTTAGAACTTGAAGGGTTAATTGTCTACTATTTAAAGTTCCTATGTTTATGAGAAAGTTTTTTCACTGTTGTTTTGTTTTAGAGATTTTTCTAAATCCAAAATTTGATTATAGGATATGATTGCTTGGATTGCGTTTTCTCAATATAAATAGGTATTTGATTTTAACCATCAATTTCCTTTTTCTCCAATTATGTTACATTTTTGCTCTAATTTTAGAATATTTTGTTCATATAGAGGTAAATCAATTGCAAGAGATATGAAATATGTATTTCTTAATCAACTTTCACCTGATAAAAAAGATTGAAAGATTAAAGTGCGAATATGTAGATTGTGAAATGTTTTTAGTTTAAAACGTGACAGGGACCATCTCACTACTAAAATGGTTTTGCTTGGTGAGAAGGTAATTTTATAACTTATTACATTTGGTCTTTTATGTATTT